CCCCCCCCCGAGCCGCGAGGGGGAACCGGGGAACGTGGGTTGCCACCCTCTCCTGTTTTCCAGCTCTTGAAGAAGATGAGCTCTAGCGACACCCCGCTGGGGACGGTGGCTCTGCTACAGGAGAAGCAGAAAGCCCAGAAGACGCCGTACATCGTGCTCAGTGGCAGCGGGAAGAGCATGAATGCGTAAGGGCGTGTGGGGGAGCACGGATGAGGGGCCTGGTTTTGAGGAGCCCCTAAGGAGGGAAGGGAGGATCTTCTCTGAAGTCCAGTCCCCGTGGGGGGGGCGGGGGGGCTGGCTTGGCTGTCCCCTTCCGTTCCTTCCTGCATTGGCTTTTGTTGGGAGTGGAGCGGAGAAGTGTGGAGGGGAAAAGGCTACGCCGGGTGGGGCTTATTCCCCCCTTAATTCGGTCACCTCTGAAATCTCGTCATTCCTGGGCTTTCTGGTTTTTTTTTTTCTTTGAAGACGTTTTGCTTCTCATCCAAAAAAGCTTCTTCAGCTCTGACAGTTTTCAAAGAAAAAGGAAGAAAGCCCCTTTGGGACAACCAGGACCTGGGTGATGACTTGAGAATCTCTACGGACTTTGAGCTATGCAATTTGGGATGGACACCCTTGGAATGGCGTTGGGAGTAAGAAAGGATTTGCAGAGGGGAAAAATGGCAGACTACCGGAACCATTTTTGCACCACCCAGGTGACCCCGAGGACACAGATAAACCTCCCAAGTGGCCTCAAGGGCTCCCTAAAAGGAGGCAAATGGCCAGCCGTCTGCAAGGAGTATCAGTCTTTCCATTCCCCTCCATGCAGTCAGAGCTGAAGAAGCGTCTTGGATGAGGAGCGAAACGTCTTCAAAGAAAAAAACAACAATCAAGTCCAGTTGCCCCCTGGAAAAAATAATAATAATTCCCCTTTGGGACCACCAGGATCTGGAGGATGACTTGGGGAATCTCTACAGGCTTTTAAGACTTAGGGACTTCAACTCCCAGAATTCCCCAGCCAGAGTGGAAGTTGAAGTCGCAAGCCTTAAAAAAAAAGATTTCGCAGGTCGGACCCTCCCGAGACGAACTCGGCCGAAAGATCTTTCCCAGCTGGGCGGGTGTGGAGACGACTTTGGGCGCCTCTTTCACGAAGGGTCTTTCTTTCCTCTCCAGAAATACCATCACGAAGTGAAGCACCAGCTTCCGGTCCCCGGCGGGAAGGCGTCGGATGCACGAGGACCGCCTCCCCCCCCCCCCCCCCCCCCCCCCCCCGGGGGGGGGGGCCCGGGGGGGGGGCGCCCCCCCCCCCCCCCCCCCCCCGAATCTCCTGGTGGGGATCCTGTTCACGGGGCCCCGCGCTCGCCGATCTGCTGTGTACATAGTTGTGGGGCTGAGTTTTTCAGCCAACCTTTTTTGTATCGCTTGTGTGAAACCAAATTGCTGTAATAAAAATAAGCAGAGACCTGATTTGTTGACGCCTTTTCTCTTCTCTCTCTCTCTCTGCATTCAGCGGAGGAATAATTCTGGAAGGTTTTGGGGTGCGGGAAATAATGCATTGAGCGGACTTTTTCTACCAGGTTAAAGAAGGAACTACTCCCAACGCAACAAACTCAGAGGCCAAGTTTCTCAGAGCTCCATTTTATTAGAATTGTCATCTGGGAAAAACCCCCAAATCTGAGGGTTGCGGGTTTTCCCCCGCGTAGTTAAAAAAATCCAATCCCCTGCGCCCATCAGTCCATCACACAGCCCAATAATCATCCATGGTCCCAACTCGAGACCTTCCTCAAACCAGTCCTTTCCCAGGTGAGTCCTTGACGCGGAAGAAGGTTGTTATAAACTTCTACCTCTCAGGCACTGGACTGTGGAAGCCTCCCAAGTAAAACATGGCTGCCAACTACAGCTTTTTCTTCCGCCTGGTTTCGTTGCTGGTTGGTTGGAGGGATGAGTTACCCAATTTCGCGGCTGGCTTTGCGTTACCACGTGTGAATCCAGAAAACTGGGTTAACTGCCTAAACCGATTCACGTAACTTGAGTTAGCGTTATGGAAACCAGCCAAGCGTCTTTCAAAGACACGTCGCGTGAAATGGATTTGTATATACGGTGGCGCTGGACCACAAGGAAGGCTCAGCGCCAAAGAATTGGAGGCCGTTGAACTCTGGAGGCGGGAGACGCCTGCGAGTCCCTTGGACAGCAAGGCGACCCAACTGGTCCAGTCTCAAGAGGTCAACCCTGACTGCTCTTGAGAAGGCCGGATCCTGAAGATGAAACTCCAAGACTCATGAGAAGGAAGGAGGGCTCCCTCCCTGGAGAAGAGCCGAATGCTGGGAACGATGGAGGGTAAAAGAAGGAGGGACGACAGAGGAGGGGGCTGGATGGAGTCATGGAAGCAGTCGGCCTGAGCTTCAATGGACTCTGGTGGATGCTAGAAGACAGGAAGGCCTGGAGGAACGTTGTCCATGGGGTCGCGATGGGTCGGCCACGACTTTGTAACCAAAAAAAAAAACCAAGATCGCTTGGTGGTCTCCCATCCAACCACTAACTTAATCAAACCCCTGGATGCTCTCTGAGCTCGGTGCTTTTCTTGCAGACGTTTCATTACCCAATTAGGTAACATCATCAGTGCTAAGGGATGGATAATGAAACTTCTGCAGGGAAAACCAGCAAGCTCAGAGAGCAACCAAGGAGCCCACAGTCCAGGCTGAGCTGTAAATATTATCTCGTAAGTGGTTAGAAACGTCGGGGGGAATTATTTATTCTACCGCTCAGAAAAAGGGGCAACTAAAAATCACTCCTGCCGTTTGCAACCTTGCAGCCGGGTCCTCGTGTCTGTCGATCAAGCTGCAGGTAAGCCCCGGCCACAATAGCAAGCCAGAAATTTCTGTCGCTAAGCAAAACGGTGGGAGCGAAATGCCCCTAAATTTGCATCCTCTTTTGGCCAGAGATAAGTGAATCGCGTTAAGCAAATCTGGCTTTCTCCCTTGACTTTCCTGTTCAGAACCTGGCTGGGAAGGTTGCAAACGCTGATCACGTGACCCCATCATTCAATACCTGCCTGCCAAACACCTGAATGTTGATCACGTAACGGGTGTGTGTGTGTCTGTGTGTGTCACTTTTTTCAGTGCCGTTGTTAACTTCGAGCAGTCTTTAAATGAATGGTTGTAAGTTGAGGACTACCGGTAAGGCAAGGAATTTTGACTGGTTAGTCCTTGACTTACCGCAGTCCATTTAGTGACCGCTGAAAGTTACAGCGGCCCCGAAAAAAGAGATTTAATGACCATTGTTCTCCACTGATAACTGTTGCTGCCATCCACACGGTCACATGATTAAAAATTGGGGTCCTTGGGAACTGACTCACATTTATGACGGTTGCAGTGTCCCAGGGTCATTTTGTGACTGGCGAGCAAAGGCGACGGGGAAACCAGCCTCACTTAAGAACCGTGTTACTAGTTTAAGAACTTCGCAAACGAGGTGAGAAAAGTCATAAAAAACCGGGACAAAAAAGTCACTTGGCAAATTTCTCGCTTACCGACACAAAGTTTGGGCTCGATTGTTGGTCACATGTCGAGGACTATCTGTCCCTTTTAATTTTCCAATTCAAAGGGTTTTTTATAAAAAAAAAAAGATAGAAAATAGGTATTTGTGCAACTCAGTGATGGCAAGATTAAGCTGCTTAATGCAGGCATTTCCCTTTTTTGTAAATGGGGGAAGACACGTTTCATGCCTATTTCTCACAAAATGGGGGAAATAAAGTCACAGATCTGCTCGCTGCATTTTATTAAATAAAGATAAGAGAAAATGGAGGGAATGAAGAGTAGAGGCAAGATATCCAGGAGAGGGAAGCCAATACAACAGCTTCCTCTCCTTCCTCCGCAACAGGTTTACACGGCGGCCTAAGGGCACTTAAAAACCCAAAGCCTTCAAACACCAAACAGAAAAACCACACCCAAAATGAGCCCCAAGAGCCAGAAATGGGGAGGGGGCACTTTAGGGGCAGCACTTTTTTTTTAACGGTGGGAATTGGGAGTGACCCATTCTCAAAAGCCCTGAGAAGAAGAATGCCAAACAAATAAAATAAAACGAACCAGAGGATTCCAACTATGCCCCTTCTGATGATCATCTCACCAGGTCTCTGGTGGTCCTTCAAGGGGCTGCCAGGGTCTCCCAACATGGCAAACTTGTAAGACTGGTGGACTTCCAACTCCCAGAATCCCCCAGCCTGGGAGTTGGAAGTCCGCCAGTCTTAAAAGTTGCCATGTTGGGAGACCCCTGCCCTAAAGGGACACCATCTCACTTTGTCCATGCACACTTGGGCTGAGACACCCCCCCACCCACAAGCCACGTTCCTTCCGGCTAAACCAGGATTTGGTTTTGCTCTGCTCCGTAAATCTGGTGGTTTATTTTTCTTCTTCTTCTTCTTCTGACTCGCTGCTCTCCTCGCTCTCCATAAAGTCGTAAGTTATTCGGTTTGTGTTCACAAACAGGTCAGTGTCATCATCTTCGGAATCCTCTTCTCCAGAAGACTGAGGGGTGCTTTGTACCCCCTCTCTACTAGAAAGATTAACAAAAAAAAAGAGGTTTTTTTGGGGTGGAGGACAAAAAAAATACCCCTTCAAACATTCCATTTCAATTATTTCCATCACACTTTTAAAGCGCGCTAAACTGCATCGGTATAATTCAGATGGATTTTAAATGTCCGATCTTAAAGCAAGTGGTATTAATAATTGGTTTGGCTGGCTAGTGCATTGTTTTTAAGATTTAGTAAGTCTTTAATAGCAAAAGCTACTTAAAATAGGCAGCTTTCTGCCAAATTTTCCCCACAGCTTAGGCAGTCGAGGATAAAAGAGAAATGACAGAGTTGTAAAACTATTTTAGATTGTGATTCTACTGCAGAGTGCAATATGAATGCGATATCAGGGGTTTTCACTTCAATGTAGAATGTGAGAGATGTGTGTTTGTATTTATTTTCATAGTCATAAATTGTACACTGAAGATGGTATTTAATTTCATTATACGGGGTGCAATGACAACAAAGTAAAGCTAAACTAAATTATTATAATAATTAAGCTTAAGTAAAAGGTTTTTCCCCTCGTACATCCGTGCTAGTCGTTTCCGGCTCTAGGGGGCGCTGCTCATCTCCGTCGCAAAGCGGAAGAGCCAGCGCTGTCCGAAGACGTCTCCGTGGTCATGTGGCCGGCAGGACTAAACGCCTTCGAAGGCGCATGGAGTGTTGTTCCCTTCCCACCAAAGGGGTCCCTATTTTCCTACTTGCGTTTTTTTTTAACGTGCTTTCGAACTGCTAGGTTGGCGGAAGCTGCTGGGACAAGGAAGCGGGAGCTCCCTCCGTGACGTGACGCTAGGGATTCGAACCGCCGACCTTTCTAATCGACAAGCTCAACGTCTTAGCCCCTGAGCCACCGCGTCCCTATAATTAAGCTCAAAATCATACTAATCAGAAACCCACCCATGGAGGTTTAGGGCTTTTAAACAGCTGAGCATCAGCATTTGAAATAAAACTTATGTTATCACTTCATTGTTCTAAATACCAAGGTCACCTCCTGAAGTGACTTTTTTTTTCTCTTCAAAATCTTAACATAAAATATGGATAATTTTCAGCAATTTCTTCCCTTCTGGGCAAGTGCCATTCCCACACCTGTCCAGGTCTCCCATTTTATGTATTTATTGGAATTTTTATCCCGCCTTTATTACTTAATAAGCAACATGAAGCAGTGAACCTACAATCCTTTCTCCTCCTGTCTTCCCCATAACAAGCAACCTGAGATGTGGGTTGGGCTGAGAAAGAGATTGGACCGAAGTTACCTAGCCAGCTTTCATGGCTAAAGCGGGATTAGAACTTATTGTCCCCTGGTGACTGGATCAAAGTCACCCAGCTAAGCTGAGACTAGAACTCACCGTCTCCCAGTGGTTGGATCAAAGTCACCTAGCCGGCTTTCATGGCTAAGGTAGGACTAGAACTCACCGTCTCCCAGTGTCTAGACCACCATCTTAAGCACTACCCCTAACTAGCTCTCATTCCTTTCTTGTTCAGCTTTACCTTTCTTTAGCACTGCTTTGAGTTCCTTTTACGTCTCCTAAGAAAGCATCAGGCCTGCAGGGGAGAAATATATATATATATATATATATAAAATGTCAACATAAAGTAGTAGGACACTTTGTAAAAATTATTTCATCTTTCAGAATTTCCACGTCCCAAACCGAGAAGCTGCGGTGGTGATCCTGTTTCCCCCCCGCCCGCCCTTAAGGTTTCCCGTTTGAGCAGCGGGTTGGACTAGATGACCTCCAAGGTCCCTTTCCAACCCTTTCCCTTGGATAAAATTGATTCAGAAAACAGATGCTTTCACTAAAACAAAAGACGCTTATAAGGAAAACGGGCACATAAAAAACCTCTTTTCTCTCCTTTCTTTCCAAGAAGATCCCAGCCAGATCTGCCACCTTCAGCTTCTACGCTTTGCTGGCCAGGACTGGAAAATGCCAGTCTTCAAGGAAAACCTGGCCTGAGAATGGAATGTGGAATTGCATCGAATGGGGCCAAACATCCAAGCCGTTCCCAAACCATCTAAAATGGCACATTACTTATACGGTGACGAACAGGGAGGGCCAGTGAAAGGGGGAGAAAGTATAACCTTTCGCACGGGAATATTCAGGTCTAGCCATTCTTTCACTGCCAATCAATTAGCCTTAGTAAAAGAACCTTATCACTTCAGCCAGGGTCTTTCCCTCCACACTGTACAACCATTTACAAAGTCTGCACTACTCTTAGTATTAACCTTCTCATCGCTCCTTATCGCCCCTCCCCTCCCACCTGTGACTGGATGACCGTAACTTTGTCGTTTGTATCCTTATTATTTATGTTGACTGTTTCCTAGTATGATTTGATTGCTTATTGTGCCCTATGATTATCATTAAGTGTTGTACCTGATGATTCTTGACAAATGGATCTTTTCTTTTAGGTACACTGAGAGCATTTGCACCAAAGACAGATTCCTTGTGTGTCCAATCACACTTGGCCAATAAAGAATTCAATTCAATTCTATTCTATTCTTTATCTATTTTCTTTTCTTTTCTGTTCTATTCCCTATTCTATTCTATTCTATTCTATTCTATTCTATTCTATTCTATTCTATTCTATTCTATTCTATTCTATTTCTATTTTCTATACCATTCCATTCCATTCTTTAAACTGTTTCCTAGTATTATTTGATTGCTTATTGTACCCCATGACTATCACTAAGTGTTGTACCTGATGATTCTTGACTCTGATGAATGTCTCTTTTCTTTTATGTACACTGAGAGCATTTGCACCAAAGACGAATTCCTTGTGTGTCCAATCACACTTGGCCAATAAAGAATTCTATTCTGTTCTTTCCTAAGTACCTGAACAATACCCCTCTCTCTCTCATTTCTTTATTTTTATTTATTAAATCGACTTCCTGCCCATCTCCTCAATAAGGCAACCCTGGGAGTCTTACAACGTGCAGCTTACTCACCAGTATCCTTCCTTCTTCAGGTACTGAACATGGTCCTTGTACAGGACAAAACTGATTTCTGCTTTTACTTTCTCTCCTTCTTCAATGGGGTCAACCAGTAAGAAATCTCCTGGAGGAAGGGAGGAAAGAATAGATAGCTGTGACGGGGGGGGGGGGGGGAAGGGGGGAATGAGGAGGCCCATTTTCCCTCCTGCAAATGCAAGGACCTGCAGCCACTCACCTCTCTTGATCCAGATGTTCTTACGGAACTTGGTGGGCATGCTGACCAGGAAACGTGTCCCCTCCGGGGTTTCCACTTCATGGAGGTTGTTTCCTGGTGTCCCGAGCACCTGGAGGGACAAGAGCAAACTTGCCGGTAAGAACTCGGCCTGATTTGTGGCTTAATCTGAATTAAGTAGGGCATCCGTCGGAACCCTGACACTGAACTTGGTCTCTGTTCGCATGGCACACTCGGCCCGCCCAGCTAGACCAGCGATAAATCTATCACACATGTCAAGGAGGACACGCCACAATGTTGAAGGGTGACACACCGCCCTTCAACAACACCAGACAATGAAGGTTACAACAGAGAGATAACATATTGGATTATCAATGTACTAACAGCAGCTAGAATTGTATTTGCACAAAATTGGAAAAATGAGAAAACTCTGACAGAGGAGGAAACAATTAAGAAAATAATGGAAAATAATGTGCGGAAATGAGTAGTTTGACAACGGCAATTAAAGAACAGGAAGAAAAAGGTTATTATATGATTTGGAACTTATTCTATGAATGGCTAGATAGAAGAGTAAGAATCTGAAACATGTGACAATAGTAATAACATATTATAACTGATTGATTTGGAATGAATTAGAAAATGAATATAACTTAGGTGTAAGGATGGAATATATTTTTGAAAGATAATAATTACAATGTTAATGATAATATAACAACTGACCAATGTGTTATAAAATATCGATCAGAATGGTTGTAAATATAAACAAGTAACTATTGCATGATATTATGTGCACAAGATATATGTACCCAACTGACACTGTACAATTGAAAGATGGTTTTATTTGTTGCTTTTGTTATAAAAATAAAAAACTTTTTCAAAACAACAACAACACCAGACAGCAACTATTTGTCAGGTGAGGCTCCATTCAAAATCCAAGAAAGAAAGCCTCAGACTCCATTGTTATAGAGAAAAGGACTTTTACTGAATATGAAGTGGGAGCAACGGAAGAAATACAAGATGTGAGGCCACACATCTTTCACATATAGACAGTTATCCCAAGTCCCCACCCCCAACAATTCAAACTGGACATCCAACCTGAGGTGTGTATAGTGTCATGTGGTTACATCTTCAGGTGGCATCTCAGACACCTGGTATGCCAAGACTGTTGACCTTGGCCTAGAAAAGATGAGTGGCTGCATGTGCACAGTAAGCAGGAAAGCATCCCAACATTTACAGTTCACACAACTTCAACCTCCAGCCCCTTTCTCCCCAGGAAGCCCAGTTATTCCTCTCCCCCATTTCTTATGGCAGCCGGAAAGAGTCAAGCTGAAGAAGGAATCTTGGAGGCTGACACTATTCTTGAAAACACACCCAATTCTCACAACATTTTTCGAGGCCACGGGAGAATGTAGCAGGCTCTTGTGCAGCCTTTTGGGTATCTACATGAAGCTTTTAAAAGATTCAGGCTAACCAGGTTAGGTTAACCAGTCTTACCCGGACAATCTGCTGCCTCTCTGAAGGAACCACATAGTCCTCTAGCACTTCTTTGACCACGTGTTTGCGTTTGGTCGCCTGGGACATGATGCTCGGTTAGCCACCGTAAACAGATTCTGGGCTGCGATGAATTGCTTCCAGGATGCGTCCACAATGTTGAAGGCTGCAAAAAGGCATGGAACAATCGACTTTCAAAAGGCAGAAAGCAAACAGTTTGGGGCACTTGATCTGCAGACATCTGCCGATCTCATTACCCATATTGGGCAAAGCCAGGGCAAAAAAATTAAAATGCTTTAATTAAACTAAAATCAGCAGTGATTTTAACTGTGGCCAAAAAAAAAAAAAGCTCGTAAAATGGGGCAAACTTCTCTTTTAACAGCTGTCTCGCTTAGCAAACAAAAGTTGGGTCTCAGTTACGGTTGCAAGTCGAGGACCACCAGTAGACATTCCTTCAGTTTGGAGATTCAAGAGACAGACCTGTTTCCAGGACCAGCCAATGTCTTTGCAGATGAAGGAGTGTGGATCCAGTGCTGATTTCGCTCCTTGGTTCATTCACACTTCTGAAGGAGCTGGGGACGGAGGGGACATTATTATTCGATTTTGAAACGCCTTAATATTCGGAGATGTTATTCCGCATAACCCAAAAGTCTCCAAACGTGGCAACTTTAAGACTTGTGCACTTCAACTCCCAGCTATGCCGGCTGAGGAATTCTGGGAGTTGAAGTCCACAAGTCTTTTTTTTTTTTTGACAATAATTTTTATTGTTCTTTTTCACCTTTTACACATACTGATCTTAATTTTAACAGTACTGTGTCATCATTATTACACAAATTATACAAATATCTACATTCACATACCTTTCTCTATAATTTTCTTATCACCTTTATCCTTATTTTTATTGTTCAACCATTTATACCAATTATCCTAAATTTTGTAAAGTTGCCAAGTTTGGGGACTCCTGCCATATTATTATTATTATTTTTTAAATCCCCATTGATTCATTGCTCTGTTCATGACATTTTCCCACATTTTTGTACCAGTTTTGCATAACCTGAGAGTACAGGAATTCCACAAGAATAGATTAACACATGAACTGAATTTATTTTATTTGGCCACTTGTGATTTAGACATGCAAGGAATTGGTCTCCACTACAAAAGCAACATTAATAATAATAATAATAATAATAATGCCAATAAAAGGGGGAGTAAGAAAGACATTAAGAATAAGCAATAATACTACAGCCACACTACATGGCTTAGCAAATTAGGATTTATTTAATGAATTTATTATTAAATTTATTATTAGAATGTATTTAATTAAATTGTTCGGATTTAACCATTTGTTAACAAAGAACAACAGAAAAGGGCAGGGACACGTGAAGAGGGCAAGCCCCCCTTCCTCACGGTCTTGAGGACCCGAAATTCTCCTAACAATTCGACCATCCCGGCTGCATCAAGTAGCAGCGAGTTCCGCAGGCACAGCGGAAGACCCCCTTTTCCCATATCCCGAGCCCGCCCTGGGCTTCCCCGGCTTCCAAGCCGGCTCCCGGGTGGCCAACAGCCCCGAGGACCCCCCACCCCACCCGAAATAGCCGCTCCCCGCGCCCCCCAGCCCGGCTCTGCCCACGAGACCTGCTCAGGGACTGCTACGCCTCGCGTCTCCTCCGAAACCAGAGAAGCGTGACTTCCGGCTTCCGGTACCGAGGGAACCACTTCCGGGTACATCGTTCTAACCGGTCCTGCCGGGCCGTAAAGGCCGCGGAGCGAATGGTTCCGCCTCGGGCGAAGGACGCCAGCGAGGTTAAGCCGGTTGCTAGTACGTGTCTCCGGGAGTCTGGGTCGTGGTGGGGGAGATACGGAGCGGTCCGCTCTGAAGTGGCTGGCCAGAGCCTCGGAGGCAGAGTTGCCGGGCCGCTTTAAGAAGGGGGGGGTGAACTACAACTCCCAGAATCCCCCAGATTTGAAGTCTACACTCTTAAAAGCTGGCAAGGCTGAGAAACGTTGCCTTAAACCAGAGGTCCCCAAACTGGGCCACTTTAAGAATGGTGGACTTCAACTCCCAGAATTCTCCAGCCAGCTATGCTTTCATATTTCATTTCAACATGCTTTCCATTTATTTAAAAAGATCCTGCATTTCCTCTATTCTATACTGCAGGGGTGTCCAACCTTGGCAACTTTGAGACTTGTGGACTTCAATTCCCAAAGGGAGACCGAGGGGAGCAAGTGGCCAGTTTTAAGTTTCTGGGTGTTACCCTAAAAGAGGACCTGACCTGGGGGGCTCACATTGCAGCCCTGGTCAAAAGGGCCCAGCAGAGATTCTACTACCTGAGGCTTCTCAGGAAACAACCACCGAATGGAAAACTGCTGGGGACCTTCTACCGCTGCACCACAGAGAGTATCTTAACTGACTGCACCTCTGTAGGGTTTGCCAGTTGCACCAGGGCAGATAGGACAACACTCCAGAGGGTGAATGTCATTGCCCCTCAGAGGATCATGGGTTGCCCTCTCCCCTCTGTGGAAGAGCTTTATCGCTCCCGCTGCCATAAGAAAATTCGAAACATCCTCAAACATCCATCTCATCCTGGGAACCCTTTTTTTGAACTATTACCATCTGGCAGCCGGTACAGGATAATAATAAAAACAAGGACAAATAGGCTGAAAAACAGCTTCCATCCCAGGACAATAGCTCTGTTGAATTCTGCTGTATAGTGCAATATGAATGCAATATCAGGGGTTTTCTATTCAATTGTATAGAATGTGAAGGATGTGTGTTGTTTTATTTTTATAGTCATTATGTACACTGAAGATGGTATTTAATTTTGTTGTTCGAGGTGCAGTGACAAAGTAAAAGAAACTAAACCAGAGCCAGTAGGGAAAAAAATTTGAATTTCACCCCGGCTTACATCCTCCATCACTTGATTTGGTCGTATATTATGCTTACATCATATAGTCTAATAATAAATATTTGCTTTAACAGTATTTCAAAATATGGAGCATTATTCCGAGTTTTAAAGAACCTCATAAAATATGGATGTTTAAAAGGTATCTCTTAAGATCATAAAAGATTTGCATTTTTCTCTTATCTTTTCTTCCTTTCATCTACGATATTTTGCTTGGTTCAACAGAGAAGCCAAGATTAAAAGCCAAAAGGCAACCCTGTGGATCTGGATTATAGTAATTATAATTATAGCAAGAGTAACAGTGTTTAAATAAGATTCCACCGTCACAGCCTTCAGTGGGTGAAATGCTTACATGTTTGGCAGCTGCCACTATGTTGGTTAATCTATGTGCAAATGCTGGTCTCAAACCCCTACTTAATGACCCTTGGAGATCCCACTAGGAGACAGAAGCCAGCTCTGGTTTTTTGGGGGGTGGGGTGGGAATCCTGCAGAGACCCAGAAGAAAAGAAACATCCATTGTCCCATTTGCTTCTCTAACCATATTCCCCATCTTAAGTTTTCAAGCTTGCAAATCCAACCAGTATGGTTGTGTCTGTGTGTTTTGTGCAGGTGCCATAGATTTGCAAATATTTGCTGCAAGGGACTGGGATGCCCAGGACTGGTCAGAGAGGATTACACACCCACACACTCAAATCTTTTGAACCTGTGTTCATCTGGGGTGTGAAACACAACCGTGAGTTGAGCTCAACCAATTTTACACGACTTTAAATTGCAATCCTGCCAACATTTTTTTTTTTCCTGAGCAAGTTGGCAGCCCGGGGATGCCAGGACTAAAAATAAGAACTTGGGGACCTTTTGCAGTTCTCCAAATTTCTTCTCCCTGCAGGGACAGCTCACCCCAAGGCAACCCCAGGCCTCCTGCAAACCCTGCTATCTATACCCCAAAGGGAGGAGGAGGAGGTAAGGAGGACCCGGAAAGGTATGGAGGAAAAAAAGGAATGTTTTGATAAAGATATTTTTTGTTCCAAGTGCATTTTATTGAGTCTCAAGTCCAAGAAAAAAAAAATACTGATGTTGACCTAGTGACAAGAGCTCCTAAAAGGGACTCTTGCAAGGAAAAGGAATTTCTCGGAACATCCCTCTAATACAGAATTTTTTAAAGGAATTTTTTTCCCCTTAAATTATAAGAAGTCAGACCACACATTTAACTAGCGCACTACGGACACCTCTGTTAACTTCAGGCAGAAGTCCTCAATAGGGGCTCTCCCCTGCAATTAAATGAGAATGTAATTTACTCCACCCTCCATAAGTTATGAAGTCACCTTCCCGCACGCGGGAGAAGCAGGAAACCTCCAGTTCATGCAAAATAATTGTTGAGGTTGGACCTCCATCTTGAGTTCCAAGCGGTTGCACTGATGTCTACTATTTTGATGCATTTATTTAATAGATTTGTCACCCATCTCACCTTGAAGGAACTCTTTTAAGTTTATGTGGTCGGCTTAAGTTTTTGGGGAGGAAATTTTTTGCCTCTGCCTAACCAGCATCCATCGATATTTATCTGGCTAGCGTCCAGTCAGTGTGTGAGAGAGTTGAGGGCTGTTTGGAAACTGAAACAGTATTTGCTGTGTGAGTAAGGAGACAGCAAGGAGCCTGGGCGTGGCTTAGCTCAACTGTTCTGTACTAAAGCATTTGGTGCTCTGAAACTGAAACTCCTCTGCTTGTGGTTTTGCATTTGGAAGAGATTTCTTTTCAGGTGAGGATGGGGAGTAGAACTCCTTAGCATCAGAGCATGTCAATAATAATAATATAGAAAATACTCTAGATGCTTTGATGGTCATTTGGAAAAATCCTTTCCCAGTGAGCCCCTAGAAGCCAAGAGGAACATAACGTACCAAATTTCAAGTTTGTAGGCTTTACGGTTCTGGAGATTTTGTGATGATGCATGAGTGGTGTTTCTCTTTATATACATACATACACACATAAACACATATGTCAATCAAAGTTAAAACAAACTTAGGATCTTGCAGGTCTGCAGCCCACAAGGAGGGAAGTAACTGAAAAACCCCTTGGTGGAAGAGACAGAAGAGGTGAAAGGCAGGTTCATGGAAAGCGAGCGATGTGTATTCCACACACACCACCCGAGAGGCCTGCAGTCGCTGGTTCTGGAGCCAGGAGATGATCCTAGTGGGACGAAGGTTCATCATCTGACATCAGCTCCAGTACTCTGGGCTGCAGCTTCCCACGGGGGACCTGGTGGGGCTCTACGGCAGATGCGGCCCGGATCCCGCGACCAGCACTAAAGAGGCGACTTGAGGGAGAGAGAGAACGAAGTTGGCTAGTTTACCACTGCGGAGCTGCACATGGTGTTCATGCCACAGGCGTGGCTCCCCCGGTACAAGTAGTAGTAACCCTGTAGGAGAGAGAGGAAACAAGTGGATCCAAGCTCAGGAGGAGGAGTGGCCTACAGGAAGTCCTTGACTTACAGCCACAGTGGAGCCCAACCTTTCCAACTGCTAAGCAAACCAGTTTGTCGAGTGAAGTTTGGTCCCACTTAATGACCTTTCTTGCCATGGTTGTGAAGTGAAGCCCTGCAGCTGTGAAGCTAGTCATACATTTAAGTCAGGGGTGTCCAACCTTGGCAACTTTAAGACTTGTGGACTTCAACTCCCAGAATTCCTCAGCCAGCAAAGCTAGTCATACATTTAAGTCAGGGGTGTCCAAC